AGATATCATCTATACTTATCTCATCTATGCCACGTCTATACTGTGCCTCGACCCCACTGTGCTACCGTTTTTTTTATATTTGCTTAACATGAACATCATTTGTGCTTATTGTAATTTAATTTATTACAGATTGTACAATTTCAAATGAAAAACAAAAAATTATTTAAGCAATAAATAAATATAAGTTTTAAATAATTTTAATTTAACATTATGTAAATACAATTTACAGTTAGTATTTGTTTAGTGAAATAATATCAAAGAGACAAAATAGTATAATTTGGGTTTTCTTTTTCAATAATATTTTTATAGAAAAATACAAAAATTTTATTTTGCCATACTTATTACGAATTATTTTTATTTTTGTTGAATATTACATTTATCTCATGACAAAATCTATTTTGTAATGATTTATCTTATCTGTAGTTTTACTGATGATTGAGATAGAATACAAAATTTCAATAGTTGAAATCAAAATTTTTGAATTTGTATATCTAGCAACACTGCATATGCATGGTTTCTAACACATTATGTGATATTACTCTGTGTTCTAACACCGTGCGAAACTAAACGGATACCTCGGTTATTTGCTAAATTAAAGTCTATGACGCTCTTATCTGTTTTGATATATATTATAAAAATGTGATAGCATTAAAATATTACATGTGTTTTATCAAAGCCCTTCGTCAAATTTTTAGTTACTATTTGAGTCTTAGTAGTCAATTGATTTAAATAAGTCGGAGCTAACAAATAATAATTTTTGTTGTTATTGGCGCAGAATAGCAGATAAAATTTTTATGTATTTAAAAAGACATTTGCGATTCCTAATAAGTAAAAGTTGGAATTATTTAACACTAGCAGGTAAGAACACTTTACTCTAGATAGGTTTTTTAAATTTTAGAAATTTTACGCGCTCATTTAATCTCATTTTTTTTTAAACCCTAATATTCATAATGAAATACCTTATTTTTTTCTAAAGCCCAATATCTTTTTGTATTATTTAATACAAAAATATACATCTAAATTTATGGATTAAAGTATTTCATTGAACAAATTTAAGAAGGTAAATATTGTTTTACCACAATTTCTAATTTTACTAATAAAAGTGCTATTTGAGAGGTGCAGGAAAAATATTTGAACAATAACAATGCATTAAACATATGCTGTTAAAAACTGTTACCATAATTATTTAAAAGAACTTTTTAAATCATAAATTTTTTTAGTTAGGGTAATAGAGAAGAGAATAAGAAATATGACAACAATGGAGCCAATATTTTGTGTGAAGCAACTAATAGAAAAGTTTAGAGAAGGGATGAAAAAGCTGTGTATGGTATTTATAGATTATGAAAAAGTATATGATAGAATACTGAAAGAGGTTTTAGAGTGGGCATTAATGAGAAAAGGAGTTCCAAAAAGATACATTAATATAGTAGAAGATATCTATGATGGCACTTATACCAGGGTAAAAAGCGTAGGAGGAGTTACAGAAGGTTTTCGGGTAAGAGTAGAAGTGCACCAAGGTTCTGCTTTAAGCCCTTATTTATTTTTTTATAGTGATGGATGAAATTACTAGAGAATTACAAGAAGAGGTGCCGTGGTACATATTGTTTGATGACGATATTGAGTTAATAGTAGAAAATAAGGAGAAAATTAATCAAAAGCCAGAGGTGTGGAGATCAGCTCTTGAAGAAAAGGGTTTAAGAATAAGTAGAAGTAAGACAGAGTACATAGAGCATGAATTTAACAAAGGAAAACATGAGGTGGGTGAAATGAGGAGATCAATGACAATAGGCGAGGACGTGATTGGAGAGGTGGAAAGTTTTAAATATTTAGGATCCAGTTATGCAAAAGAGCGGTAGTATTGACGAGGATGTAAGACATAGGATTAAGTGCGAGTGGTTGAAGTGGAGAGAAGCGTTTGGTGTCTTATATGATAAAAGAATTCTAATGAGGCTGAAAAGTAAATTCTACAAGACCGTAGTGAGGCCAGCTATGATGTATGGTTCAGAGTGTTGGACGGTTGATAAGAAAGTAGAGCAGAGATGACAATGCTTAGTTGGATGCGTGGAGTGACTAGAAAAGATAAGATAATCGTGGATAAGATGAGAGAAAATAGACTAATATGATTTGGACAAATTATGAGGAGAAGAATTAGAAGCTGAAAGAACAGTTATAGAAATGAATGTTAAAGAAAGAAGAGGTAGAGGAAGACCAAAAAAGAGAGGTTATTGAATGCGATATGAGGACAGCTGATGTGAGCGTAGATGATGTGGGAGATCGTGTCAAGTGAAGTTTAGGATAAGTGTGGCTGACCCCAAGTAGTTGGGATTAAGGTGAGGAAGAAGAAGAAAAAGAAGAAAATAATTTTTAGATTTGTTATGATAATTCAAAAAAAAATTTCTAAGTTATTCGAAAAATATTCTACCCAAGTATGGTTATAACTAAGGCTTAGAACTAAAGGCAAATACATATTAATAATCAATACAAATAAAGAAACTATCTTGAATTATGATAACTTTTTTAAACTTGATTTTTTTTTTGAAATTTCAGAAAATTCAAAGTTTTATTGTGACTATGTTAGGTATTTTTAAAGTAGTAAGATCTGAATTGTATTAGTTGATGATAGCATAATAATAGAAAGTTGTTGTTAATTGAGTTTCTTCTTTATGCCAAATATTCTTAAAAAAAATTAAGAAAAAAAAATTATTATATAAATTATTTCATTAAAGAAACTTAATTTTTTTCAAGGAATAATTTAAATAGCTGGCCAGTGGTTAACTAGTTACAGCATAATTATTAAATTTTTAATGAATATCTTGTGTATGTAAACATTCTTCTTAGTTTGCATATTTCGATTTTAATAAAAATGTGTGAATGCTCATATGTGTAAATATTTATTTATTTTTATAGTGAAATTTTTTTAAATTAAAATTTTGAATAAAATAAGCTCTACAAATCTTATCAGTGTTCCTAGTTTGAGTTATGTTTACATTAAAAAATAAAATTATTCATAGTTGTAACATTTATTTTTATCTTCAATACTTGAGTGTTTAATTTGACTTACAGAAATTTAAATATACCCCAGAATGGAAAGACTAAAATCCCTTTGTCCCTTGAAAGGCCATTCGGGTATAGTATGGAATATAGCATGGCATCCAAAAGGACAAATATTAGCTTCATGTGGAGAAGATAAAACAATAAGGTTATGGAATTATAAAGATGGTGATAAGAGTGTATTGAAATGTTTACTTGCTGATGGCCATCAACGTACTATAAGAGCCATATCATGGTCTCCTTGTGGCCAAAATTTAGCATCAGCTAGTTTTGATGCAACTATTGCTATTTGGGATAATAAGTCTGGACAATTTGAATGTAATGCTACTTTAGAAGGTCATGAAAATGAAGTTAAAAGTGTTGCATGGTCTAGATCTGGATCTCTGTTAGCTACATGTAGTCGAGACAAATCTGTTTGGGTATGGGAAGTATGGGAAGATAATGAGTATGAATGTGCAGCTGTTTTGAATGCTCATTCACAAGATGTTAAAAAAGTTGTGTGGCATCCTTTTGATGACATTTTGGCTTCTGCAAGTTACGATAACAATGTGAAGTTATATTCCGAAGATCCGTCAGATAAAGAATGGACTTGTATTGGCACCCTTAGTTCGCATTCATCAACAGTTTGGAGTTTGGCTTTTGATAAAACTGGAAATAGAATTGTAACAAGTAGTGATGATAAGACCTTAAAAATATGGCAAAAATATTTACCTGGTACCTTAAAATAATAATATAAGTTATTTATAATTAATTTTTATAATATCTGAAATTTTCTTTAGGTAATGCTGAAGGAATATTAGTAAAAGATGAAAAATTTGTTTATAAATGTGTTTGTACTATAAGTGGGTATCATACAAGACCAATATATGATGTTTCGTGGTGTCATTTATCTGATTTGATTGCTACAGCTTGTGGCGATAACTCTATTAGAATTTTTAAAGAAGATGAATTATCAGATCATAATCAACCAACATTTTCATGTATTGTTCATATGAATAATGCACATTTACAAGATATTAATTCCATACAGTGGAATCCTATAATTGAAGGAATTTTGGCATCATGCAGTGACGATGGTTTGGTTAAAATATGGAAAGTAAATTCTATTTAATTAAGTTTCAAATGTATGATTATTAATAAGCTTTATTGTTATTATTTATTACGAGAAAAGTGTATAATTTTTTTTTATTATTTGGTCATATTATTGATTGACTACATAATAAAAAAATGTATCAAATGTATTTAATTAAATGTAAAAATGTATTTAATTATTTAATGTTGGTATATAATTATTAAATGACAAAAATATGTTTCAAGGATCACAGAAAATCTAAATATAATCAATACATTTATTAAAATTAATAATAGATACTATATAAACTTGATAAAATTTTATCCTAATATATAAAAATATGTAGTATAATAAATAAAATGTTTATACCTTATTGAATGTTTTTATTGTGAAAACGGACATCAAAGTTAATAATTAAAAATACAATTTTTGTAATTTATCATTATTTAATTTCTTGTAAACTATTAAATTTATTTTTAAATAAAAAAATTTTTTTTACATATTGCATATTTACGTTTGCCATAAAAGTAATGACTACTTTATAATTTTTTATAATTTCTCCGTAAATTTGCAATACTAAATCATTAAAAATCAATTTCATACTATACTTTATTGCTATAATAAATATTTATTCATATATTATACTTCTAAATCAAAAAACTAATAATCAGGAATAATAAGGGAAATAGGAATGTTGCTTTTGGAATAATCTACCAATTTTTTTAAATTAAACACTACAGATTTGCATTGAAACGCTTTGTACAATAGTGATTTTAATCACTCTCAGATTAAATATATTCTGGATCAAACTATGCCACATCCCCACTGTACTGCGTTTTAATTTTTTAATTTTTTTTGTGTGTCTGTCACTATTTTTTTTTCAGCTCTCATTGGACCGATTTTTCTCAACGATACACTAAAAGATCACAAATCGTATCTAGTTGAAAACATTACACTCAAAAATTATAAATTTTCCTCGTTCTATGTAAATGATGAAAATCCCCTCAAAAATTACAATTTTTAAAATCGGTTAATTTCGACATTTTTAAAACTTTTTTTTCTTAAAAATTGCCATAACTTATTGAAAAATTAACGAATCAAAAAAATTCTTATTATATTGAAACCATAGATATTATTCTTTCATTTGATATGGATTTTTTGAAAATCTGACTGTTTACCTGCCCACAGGGGGGATTTAAAATATTAACTGTAAAATATCAATTTTACTTTTTCAACTTAAGTTTTGAAAATGTTTCGGAAACACTGACACTTTTATATATACTTTAAATTAATACTGGTATGATATACTTTAATTTGAATAAAATTTGACCTCTGGATTATTTTTGTAGTGAAAATGACTACCTTACATTTTTTCATATTAAAACTAGGCTTTACCTAGCTGGGGCTCCGCCCTAGACCTGAGACACTGCAAGCCTCACGAGCCAACGGCGCGTAAACCTCTTTGGGCCGTCATCTTAAATAGGCCACTGATTACGTTAGGAGTACTCAGCTATGCCGGGGACGATAAGTGTTTTGCAGAAAAAATATTACTTAAATTATTTTTGGAGGGTATTTAAAATTTTTTTACTTTGTTAAACATCCTATAGAACTTTTTTTTGTTAAAAATCAAAGTGATAATAAAAAAAGGTCATTAGATTCTTATTTCTTAGAAGTTAACTAAAAAAATATTGATAGCGCTGGTTCAAGAGGGTCTCCATATCCCCCTTAAATACATAAAAATTATTAATATTCTAATTGTAATAATTGTGTTTGTATTATAGAATATTTACAAAAATATTCTGCAAGTTATATTACCTGGGACTAATTTATATACTTATAATTGTCCTTAAATTTATATACAACTTATTTATACATAACATATAACATTCCTTCATAAACTATACAAAATATAGTCAATGTGCAAATGCAAAATACAATTCTAGTATAAACTGCGTGGAAAAGAAAAAGTCTTTAATAATACTACTCTGTCATATTGATAATATTAAAAATATTTTTAGAGGGTTCTACATTTTTAAAACTATGTTGTGTAATCATATGGCATCATTTTAAAAACATGTAATTAATTTTTAAAAACAATTTCTGATGACTTAAAAATATTATGAAAATTTTACCAGGATATTAAAAGATTTTATTAATTTTAAAAATTATTAAAATAGTGACTACATATTTTGACAGTGTTATAATTACAATATAAGCTATGCTGTGATAAAAAATGTTTTAAAATAATTTTTTTTATTATTAAAGTATTTTGAAAATCTAATAAGTCTACAAATGTTGTGTTGATAACGATATAACAAGACTTACTTTAATTTTTTACATATTAAATGTAACCCTACTGTAAAAATGGTATTTGTAAGGAATTAATTATCAATAAAACCCCGAGTTATACATAGCGTGGTGAGTAAATTTATAATTATCATATACGGCATATTTTGTACCTGCATTCATCAAAAACATAACAATATGGTGCCAGATAATATCGTATCATAGAATCGCGTGAAACCAATGACCCACAATAGCTAGCAAAAATTAATCTCTGTCTCTAACAGGTATAGGAGAATAAATAACAACAAGAACTTTAATGTTTATCGAGATTTCAGTTTTTTTATGTCTAGTTAATTTTCACACTCAAAGATAAATAAAATAATAAATTATTAAAATGATTTTAGGAGTGATCAGATCGAGTTTTTTAAAGAGTTATTCCATTAAATGTCAAAATTCTTCAAAAATGATTACTTTAAATGAAGTTATCTCAGTGCTAAACAAAATGGCTCCATTGTCATTAGCTGAATCTTGGGATAATGTTGGTCTATTAGTTGAACCTGTCATTTTAAAACCAATTGAAAACGTTTATTTTACAAATGACTTGACTGAAGAAGTTTTAGACGAAGCAGAAAAAACTGGAGCTAATCTTATTGTTTCTTATCATCCTCCTCTATTTGCACCTTTAAAAAAAATTACTTCACAAACGTGGAAGGTTGTTATGCCTCTTCAGAAAAATTGTACTTGAGTCAAGAAAACAGTATATCATTTGTTATTATTTATTTTCAGGAACGAATTATTGCTCGTTGTCTTGCCAATGGAATCGCCGTGTATTCACCACATACGTCATGGGATTCTGCGAGCAATGGATTAACTGATTGGTTAATAAGTATTTTTGGTTAGTTAATATTTAACAATTATTTTATAAAATACACATAATATTAAGATGAAAAATTATAACATTACTAGACCCCAAATTCCTATGCGCATTACATTTTTTGACGGGTTATTTAGACGATATTTTATGTGCATAAAATTCGACTTCTAAAAAGTGAAAACTAAAACTTGTATTTGCATTTTTATGATTTTTTCATTATTAAAGTACTAAAATACAAAAGTTTTTGTATTGATTTCATCTACAGTTTGTAGCCAGTTTATAATTTATTTAAAATTCTCAGAATTCGTAGTGAATGTATTATATATACAGAGTGATTTTTTTATTATAACCCACTCAATTACTTACAGAATAATAATAATTAAAATTTTTTTTTTTATTATTATCTTTAGTTACACATTATTCTTGAATTATTAACTATGTAACACTTTTTAAGTTCATCCCTTATGCCTCGTAAGGATGTCAACTTTGTTTTTTTAAATGGGAACACATATTTTGAGTTTAATAAAATGTTTGAGTTTTTAATTTAATAGTAAATGGCATTTGAATTTTTAGTATAACTTTATTTGTTTATTAGATATAAACATTTAAAGTTTCAAATTTTTGAGTTAATATACATGTATAATACACAAGGGTTTACAAATACAGGTAGCTAATTGGTTTTTTATGATATTGCTATCACAGTCACGGATTGTTTATTATCAATTATGACTATCAATAGATATACTTTTTGTATTGTCAGTTAGTGCATGTACAACTCACAACAATGTACCTTACTATCATTGATAATAACAATGCTGTGTACCTGCTAATATCGATGTAATAAAAAATCAATTAGCTACCTGTATTTGTAATCCCTTGTGTATTATACCTATATATTAACTCAAAAATTTGAAACTTTAAATGTTTATATCTAATAAACAAATTAAGTTTCATTAAAAATTCAAATGCCATTTACTATTGAATTAAAAACTCAAAAATTTTATTAAATTAAAAATACGTGTTGACACCCTTACGAGGCATAAGGGATGAACTTAAAAAGTGTTACATAGTTAATAATTCAAGAATAATGTGTAACTAAAGATAGTAATAAAAAAAAAAATTTTAATTATTATTATTCTGTAAGTAATTGAGTGGGTTATGATAAAAAAATCACTCTGTATATATATATATATATATATGTGTGTGTGTGTATGTGTGTTATATCCCATGTGGGAATAATTATTAGTTTTGTTTTATAATGATTATTTGTATATTACTATTCATGTATTTATTTATTGTTCTTTATGTATTTATTTGTTACCAAATTTGTTCCTAGTTTATATTTGTTTGTGTTATCTCTTTATGTTGAAACTAATATTTCAAGTCGGGCGATGTGTTTAAGTCTATACAATAAGTGTGTTATTCTTATCGTTTTTCGGTGGCTGTACAGTTGTTAGGTTTTTTATAATAGAGTATGCTACCTTTGGACAGCATACCGCTCGCGTATGTATAATAACACACGTATATCCATTTTTTGTACTTAATTTTATTTAATATCTTTTAGTAATAAAAGATCACGCCCGAACAAATTTCATACTATATTTAATTACTATAATAAATATTTATACATATATTACAGTTATAAATCATAAAACTTGTTATTAGTATATAAATAAGAAATTAGAAGATCATGTTGCTTTTTGAATAATCCGCCAATTTTTTTAATTAAACACTATCTACATATTTGCATCAAAGTGTTTTTAATGATAGTGACTTAATCACTGTCAGGTCATCTATATTTGCCTCATCTATGCCACGTCCCCATTGTGCTGCGACCCCACTGTGCTGGGTTTTTTTTAATCCATCTTACCCTAAAAGTCAACTTGACCTGCTTGTCCCTAATTAAAGTTTTGAAAATTATAAGTTTTTGCAAACAATGTATGATTTTCTTAATTGCTTCAATATTAAAACAACAATTGTTTTACTATCAATGATTGATATTTATTTATAATATTTTCAGATGGGAAGATAACTGTTATTCAACCTCATATGTCATCACCTAATTTTAATTACGTAGTAAATATAAGTTCAGAGAATTCTTTTGCAGTCCAAAAATTTAATGGTTGTTTAAAAGATTTTTTAGAAAGCCAATTTATATCACAAATCAACAAAGAATTTAAGTAATATTTAAAGATCTTATTATTAAAAAGCGTATAAACCAATTGGGGTAAAATTAGGTTATTTATTCAAAATATATGATGTACCTATAAGATAATTCAGTTACCACAATTCTCTCTAATAAGTACTTTAATAATATTTTAGCTTCGATGCGAAGCTGAAAAAGTATTAATTTTATTATGATGTTTCTTTTTTTTTGTGTGTCTGAGAACGCTTAATCTCAGCTCTCGATGAACCAATTTTGATGAACAATACGTCAAAAAATCACAAATAGTATCCAGTCGAAGACATTACCCTCAAAAATTGAAAAAAATTCCCCCAAACAATTTAAAAAAACGTTAATTTTCGATATTTTTTTAATTTTTTTTTCTTAAAACTACCATACTAAAAATACTAAAGACGTACAAAAAATACTCCTTCCTCTACATTATCATCCCCCTCTACCCTTAATCAATTAATCGAGTCTCACATCCTTAACTTTCTCTCTTTATCTTCTAATGACAGTTTGCAGTAACTTCCTCATCTCATCACAAAAAATACAGATCCTCAGGTTCTCTTCATGACTACATAACATATCAAAAATCAAAATGCAACACAACCAAAATTCTAAAAAAGGAAAAAAAGAACTCGGTTAAATTTATGCATCATTCTACATCCTTCAATGTCCATCTCTAAATTTTGGACCATAGCTAAAAAATTCAAAAACTGAATAAATCATCCTTTTTCTACCACAAACAATGACTGGTTTGACGAACTTTTGTAATAAAATTGCATCTCCTTACGTTCCTGCCCCTGATGAACTTAAATTACATTTTTCAGCCAATTTAGCAAATAATAGTAATAGCAGCTACCTTTCCTCTCCTTTCAGTCATCACGAACTGTCCTTTGTTATTTCTTTCAGGAAATCTGCTGATGCTGGTTTGGATAATATTTCTCCTTTTTTTTTTAAACATCTTCCAATAAAAGCTTTTGATATTCTTTTAACTATCTTAAAGGATTTATGGATTAACAATATCATTCCTGAGTCTTGGAAGCACTTCAAAGTAATTCCTATCCCTAAAAGTGGTGCTGCTACTAACGCATACCGTCCAATTGCCCTTTCATCTGCCTTCTGCAAATTAACAGAATTTATGCTAAAAACCCGTCTGGATTGGTATCTTGAATCCAACTCTCTATTATCATCTAACATATTTGGTTTTTGATGTCGATTGGGCACAATGGAATGCCTATCCTCTCTTGTTGGTCCCGTGTATCAATCGTTTTGTAATCGCCAATTTACTACAGCCGTCTTTGTTGACGTTCGTGGTGCATTTGACTCTGTTAACATCCCTCTTCTTGTTACACGTCTACTCTCCATATTCTTATATCGGTGTGCAAATTTATCTTTTCTTTATTAAAATGCCGCCTCCTTCACTTTAAATCGCCGTTTGGTACCGCTTACCAACGTATTACTTATAGAGGTCTTCCTCAAGGTAGCTATCTTAGTCCTATTTCATTTAACATATATACTGTTGATATAAGCAAATCACTCACATCTAATAATTTCTCTAGTTTACTTTACGACGATGATATAGTTATTTTCTTTTCCCATAGTTCACTCCAGGTTACTGTATCGAATATAAATAATAATGCACTCCAGATCCTCTATTCTGTATTCCAGCTTTCCTATTTTGAATCTGCCCCAGAAAAAAGCAATGCTATTATATTTACTAGAAAACACATTCTACAACAATCTTCAATTTTGCTTGCTGGGGTTAGCTTATCCTTTTTTGATTGTGTTACTTACCTTGGACTCAAACTAGAACAGAAACTCCGCTGGATGCCTCACTTTAAGTACCTCATCTCTTCCATATCACGCTGGTCTAATCTTCTACGTTCCATTGTAGGTGCCTGCCGCAGCTCCCATCCCTCCTCACTCCTACTTATTTTTAAAGCTCTTATCCGCTCTAAAGTCGACTATGGTTCCTTTTTATACGCCTCGGCTTCCACGGTTCATCGTAAAAAAATCAATTCTCTACTCTCTGCTTGCTTACGCACAATTATAGGTGCAGTCTACTCTACCCTTAATATGAGTTTAGAAGTAGAATGTGTATGCCTTCTCATTGAAATTCGATCTCGTTACCTAGCCCATAAATTCCTTTTAAAACAGCAGATATCCAGTCCTGCCAATTTAATATTTCATTGTTTTCATACACTTAGCTCACTTTGGCGTTATGTACCCAAAACTCTTCCTCTACTTGCCTCTATTTCTACTACCTTGATTCCCTGCCTTAATTCCATAATCACCTCAATCAATCGCCTACCTATACATTCCAAATATGACATTCCATTTCATGCACTTACTCATTTTCCAAAAATTCACTTTAACCATCCATCTCTTTCTTATAGCAAGCCTCAATTACAATATCTCCCAACAAATTTTGTCAATTATCTTTTTGATTAACTCATTTCCTCTCGTTTTGCTAACAACAGCCTCATATTCACTGACGGCTCAGTTTATTCTAATTCCGCCGGCTTTTCCTTTTTTATTCCTAGTCTAAATATGAATTTCTCAGATAATCTCTCCTCAAAACCTTGTTCATTTACCACCGCATTTATACGATATCCTCGGCTCTCGAATTCATCAAATCACTCAATTTAATAAATGTTCTGATTGTCTTGGATTAACTGTCAGTTTTATCCTATCTTTCCTCAGTTCCTTTTAAAAAAAGTAGAGCCTTCTGCACAATTAAAATTAAAGCCTTAATTTATAGTCTCTATTTAATGGACATTAATGTTGAATTTTTATGGTGCCTTAGTCATGTCGGAATCTCTGGCAATGAGATAGCAGACCATCTAGCTAAACTCACTAACTCCTTCAACCGACCACCTATCCTAAAAATTCCCTCTTTCGATGTCCTTTCCTATTTTCATCTAACTATTAATAAAGCATGACAAGATAAAAATGGTCAAATTTATCTTTAGCTAACTGGCATAAAGCTATAGTTTCAATTATTCCTAAACATCCTTGGTTTTACATCCTCCCTCTGTCCCGTTTCCATATTACCTCATTTTCCCGTCCTAGATTTGATCATAATCGGCTACCTTTTCATGCCTTTAACATGTCACTAAACCATTCCCCCTTCTGCCCCAAACTCAATGATGAAGTCCATTTGATGTCCCAGCTTTACAACATAACCGTTTACTCTTGTTCAATTTCCTGTCCTCCCTTAATATTTCATCAATTAATAGTTTTAATATCCTTAATACATAATCCTCCTCAATAATTATACAAATAATTTCCTTAGTTCATTCAGCTGGCTTCATTATATAATATTTTTCTGTATATTAATTTAATATCCTAGGTCTATTTTGTTGTGTTCTTTCTTTTTTAGTATTTTGAGTACATTCATTTTATTAATTTAACGATATGTTTAATTGTGGTTTAATAACAATATTTTTTTTGTATAGTTTTAGTTCTTATTGTATAGTCTTAGTTTCCATTGTATAGTTTTATTTTATTTGTTTAGCTATAATAATACTTCTGTATTAAATACTAATAATAATAAAAAAATACAACTATAATAATTATAACAATTATTATATAAATTATAATTATTGTAATTTTATACGATCGTTGTCAAGGTCTGTGTAGCATTACCCCTATGTTTTCATTATATTTTGAGTTGTAATTTGATTAATTAGAAATTGGTTTATATGCTTCTATAATTTTTAATTTGGTTATTGTTTTTTTTAAATATTAGCTTTAAGACTGGCGTTACGAACCAGAGTCTTTGTAGTTATTTTAAATATTATGATAATTATCTGTTTTATGGAGCAAGCAGGATGAAGAAATAATTCTTATGATGTGAAAATAAATATTCTTTTGAAGATAGTTTCTTTTCTTTTTTACTCAAAATCTTTCTTAAAGAACTATTTTTAATAAAAAAAAACATATTTACTGGGAAGGTGGATGCTCATATAAGACAATAATATTTGTTTATTATATCTAACAGTTTTTCTATTTTAGAATCACAAATTATGGTCAAAACAATGTTCAAATTTTATGTACTTCAACATTTCTTAGTTTGTTAAACGATATGGAAATTCTATCTGAGTTTGATTTACACGCAAATAAAAATGAAACCGTATGTGATTATTTCTAAATTATCTTATGAGGACCATTCAGAATATAAGCTTACAAATGCTCTGAAACGCCATGGAAATATTTTTTTCGAAGTTGGTACACCTGGCTTGTAGTTGAACTTCCTACGGCCATCTGAGGACCCCTTGTATTTTTAGTTAATTTGCGAGATTTGAGCAGACATCCGTTTTTTGGCTCTTCAAAATAGTACCACTGCAAATATTTACTGTCAGCTTGATGAAGTTAATAATAATTATGTTATAAGTTGTTAGAATATTACCAAGTGTGTCTGAATGTTTATAGAAATTCATACAAATACTTACGACGAGATAAGGAGTGCAAAATCACCAGTGCTTACTGACGATTTTATGTAAATAATTGATCAAAAAGTGCGAAACAGCCGTCGTGTAACTCGCCATTGGCGAAATTACGGAGTGACCCATGTCTAGGCAATGAAACACTTGGTTTTAAATTATCATTATAGTCTTTTATTTAAAGTTAAAAATGTATTTAAAATATTAATGTAATGATGGCAACATTATTCCCAAATTACATATACGTGTTTTTTAAAAGTCTTTTTTGTGGCTTCTTTGCTATATATCTTAGTAATAATTTTTTGTTTTTAATTTATATTTTAAATATACTTTTAATTTTATCTGCTATGTTTTGAAAAAGACGGAGATGCATTTTTAAACTTAATTGTCACTGGTGATGAGATCTGGGTATGCTGCTTTATCTCTGAATCAAAAAGCCAATATTTTCAGTGACGCAATTCAACATCTCCAATAGTCAAAAACTTTAAAACAACTCCACCTATAGAAAAAGTAATGGTAATTATGTTTTGGGATGAAAAGGAATTCTTTTGGTAGAAAATATATAAAAAAGGACTTGAATGAATGCAAATATATTACAATATCCTTAAAAACTTAGTAGAGCAATTCAGAATAAAAGGAGAGGAATATTACTCGCAGAGTTTGCCTTCTGCACTTCAACGCAAGACCCTATTGACCGCCCGTTTTTTGTAGGAACTCCTTACGTTGTTTGAACTGCATATTGTGAGTCACTACTTACTCCCCTAACTTAGTGCCATCCGATTGTCTTTTTTTCACCAAATTAAGGGAATTTCTTGGTGGACAACGTTTTGCCAATGATGAGGTCAAAGATCAACATAAAAGTGGCTAAAAGAGGTGGCGGGCGATTTCTGTATAACTGTCATATAAAAGCTAATATCCAGGCAAATAAAATGTTTCAAACTTAACGTCTGCTACATTGAAAATATTTGAATACATATTCTGTTTCATTATATTTTTTTTCATGTATGCATTTTTCTTAAATGTTGTAACCTAACTTTCTGAGTGGCCTTCGTAAATTACATTTTAAACATCAATTTATAATTAATTAATTATAAATTCTCCTTTTAGCTTCCATCTTCTATAAGTGGCAGTGGTCGTTTTTGTCAACTTAAAAGTTCTTTAACTATTGGAAATGTAGTTACTATGATAAAAGAGCATTTGGGTGTCGAAAAATTAATGCTTGCTTTGCCAAAATCAAAAACATTAGGTATAAAGCATAAATTATTCAGTTAAATTTGTAATTAATTCATAAAATTACTTCATTATTTTTTATATTTATTTAAATACGTATAATAATATCATTTAAACTTAAATAGATTCAACTATTGATTCAGTAGCAACAGTCGCAGGATCTGGAGCCTCTGTATTGCGTGGAGTGAAAGCTGACTTATATTTAACTGGAGAAATGACACATCATGACATTTTGGATGCAGTACATAAAAACGTAGTTGTAGTTTTGTCCAATCATAGCAACAGTGAACGTGGTTATTTAAATGTTTTTGTGGAAAGATTTTCAAAATATTTACCGCATCTAAAAATTAGCATTTCTACTACTGATAAAGACCCTTTGATCTTAATTTAATCATGCATTTATGAAGTTATTTATACATATATTGTTCTTGTTTAAAAATGTTATTATAAATGGTAAATCAAGATAAATTAAACAAAATGGTTTTTATTGCATTTTTCTAAATTATTTTTTAAAATTAATTGAACTATTAGTTTGAATTAAAGTAAATATATATATATCATATTTTTTTTTCTTTTTCCTCGCCTTAATCCCAACTACTTGGGGTCGGTCAAATATATATTACATATTAAAAAAATAATTATTAATATACATAAATTAAGCGAAACAAAAAAGATAAAAATTTGAAAGAATGAAAAGACAAAATAAAAAATGAAAAATTTTGAAATAAAAATATATATTTCAATCAATTTTTAGATTCGATACGTAGCTGAGAAGGTATTGATTTACTATGTGTTTTTTTTTTTTATGTGTCTGTTACCACTTTTTGTCAGCTCTCATCAAACAGATTTCTTTCAACGATATGTCAAAAGATCACAAATCGTATCTAGTCGAAGACGTTACCCTCAAAAATTGAAAAAATTTCCCTCATTCCCCGTTAATGGGGGAAGCCTCCAAAAAAATCACAAATTTATAAAATCTCTAATTTTCGAATGTTTTTCAATTTTATTATGTAATATACTTTAATACGGAAAAAAAAATTTTGAACTTTAGTTTGTCTTCATAGTGAAAATGGCTATGGTATTCAAAAATGTGCTATTTTTGTGTTATAATACTTGATTCTATATTTTCAACTTTATATTTCTATAAATTTTTGTAAAATGGATGGATCAATACTATTTTTTTATGATAAATTGGGCTATTTCCCTTTATACAGGGGGGGGGTTCAAAAACTTAAAATTCATATAGAAAATAAAACTTTTTCAACTTAATTTTTGAAAGTGTTCCGGAAAAACTGACACTTATATATATATATATCTTAAATTATAGCTTATGTAATAAACCTAATATACCTAATAAACAAATAAAGTTATATTAAAAATAAAGTTTCAAATTTTTGAGTTATTAAGTTATTAATTTGAGTTATTAATATTACATATTTAATATACAAGGTATTACATATACAGGTAGCTAATTGGTTTTTTATGACATTGCTATCACAGTCACGGATTGTTTATTATCAATTATAGATATTCTTTTTATATTGTCACTTACTGTATTTATAAACTCACAACAATGTGCCTCACTACCAATTGATAATAACAATGCTGTGTACCAGCGAATATTGATGTCATAAAAAACCAATTAGCTACCTCCCTATGTAATACCTTGTGTACAATATACAAGTATATTAACTCAAAAATTTGAAACTTTAAATGTTGATATCTATTAAATGAATAAATTTATATTAATAACTAGGCTCCGCCCTAGATCGAGGGACCTACGAGCCTTAATAATTAAAAATAATAAAAAACTATTTAAGGAGTACTTTATCACAGTGTAAGCTACAAGCCTAGCTACTCTGACAATTGAACAAGAAAATACTGACTTATTAGTTTTTAATGATCTGATTGACATTTTTATTGCTTCCAAGGCCAGAAAAAAACTATTTTGATGTTATATACTATACTATGAAAAAAAAATTTCAACATATATTGAACATGCATGATCTCGGCACAGTGGGGACGTGTTATAGCTGAGAAGGTGACCTTCTCAACTTCGCATTGAAGCTAAAATATGCTATTTTTGTGTTAAAATTCATAGTATTGTACTTTAATTTATTTTAATATACCTTATATGGGATACAATGATTTTTATAAATATTATATAAAACTAATTGACATAGAATATACAGTTAAACTTATTTCAATTTTTTTTCTTACGAGTCCAAAAAATTAATTTTTACATTTTTTTAAATTGGTGTAAAACAAATGGTCTAAACATAAATGTAATGAAATGCTCTAACGTATCATTCCTTAGAAATAAATCTAAAATTACATTTAATTACAATATTGATAACAATTCTTTGCCTGAATATGATGTTATAAAGGATTTAGGTATCACGTTTCAAACAAACCTCCAATTTTCTACCCATATTGATCAAGTCAGTCTTAAGGCTATTAAAACTCTTGGATTTCTATGTAGGTGTACTAAATCATTTGATGATATAAACTGTCTTAAAGTCCTTTTTTGTGCCCTTGTACGTCCTATTTTAGAATATGGGTCCATCATATGGAATCCTACAACATCATCTCATATACAACAGCTTGAAAGAGTACAAAAAAAATGTATTCGTTTTATAGGTTTTAAACGAAATTTAACATATAATATTGATGATACTTTAGTACAAAGTTTACAATTTAACCTAAAACTTGATTCTCTTTTAGCCCGTCGTAATATGTTGGACACATCTTTATTATTTAAACTAATTAATGATACCATCTCCTGCCCTCCTCTCCTGGTCGTGTATTATTTCACGTACCACAATATAATACACGGTCATGCCGTACTTTCCATATTAAATTGCCCCGCACAAACTATGGAAGGGATTGTCCACTTAATAGAATCGTGACATTGGGTAATTTATCAAACTTTGATTTCGTTTTTGATAATCTACCGGATCTAAGACGTTATTATTTTAATTATTAATCTGTCCAAATAATATTAATTTTATTTATACATTTTTGCATAATTGATCTTATGTATCTCCCCTAAATATTTATATCACAATTATTTTGTATATTACTTATTATGTAAACTGTGTTAACCTGTACTTGAGCCTACCAGACGTTTATTCAAATAAATCAATAAATTGCCAATTTTATCAAAAAACGAATGTGACGATCGTTTGCCGATTCAGTAAAAATAATTGCCTGTGGCAATGATTTTTTTACAATTTTTCCTTAATTCTTTTTAAGTTAGTTTTTTGCTTTTGAATATCCACCAATTTCTTAAAATTTTGTGTTATCTACAGATTTGCATCGAAGCGTTTCCTTTAATAGTGAATTTAATCACTCTCAAATTAAATCTATACTAGTCCCAACTATGCCATGCTCACGCTATGCCCACGACCCCACTGTGCTACTTTTTTTTTTTTTTTCATAACTATAGAACTTTTGTTATGTGAAAAATATATAGCAAATTTTAGTCAAAATCTTTTTTTACATGAACATTGTCATCAATCGAAATATTTTAATCATATTCACTTTCAAAAACTTCTAATCCTTCATTATCTAACAAAGTAAACTGTGGTATTGGTTAATCAGTTAAATCATAACTTGAAAAAAATAATACTTTAAGATCACCGATTGGAGCATCAACATTATATTCACATATAGGATTTAATATTAAGCAACTAACTTTATAACTTCGCGACAGTTGGACTGATACAAAAAAATAATAATAATAATATATAGGAATTATAGAAAGTATTTTAAAATTACAAAATAAAATAATATTTTTGTGTTGTAGCAAAAAAAATATTATTAATAACTGACTAAGGAAATAAAAAACAATTCATACGAATTTAAAAGTTTAATTAAGGTGAAATAATAAAATTCTTACCTGCGCATCAAGCATTGTGTTTACGCTATAACCACATAAATTAAAAAAAATGATTACAGCGACTTAAAATTTCATCGCTAGATTACACTTGGATAATTTTATCAATCCTGTGTTCGGTGAGGTACACCACCAAAAAATTAAACAATAGTTATTATTTAATTAATAAAATCGTTCCACAAATAAGTGAATCTTCTGAGATACACTAACAAGTATAGAGTTAAAAGTTCCATAATAATTTAACGAAGTTATTTTTTGTATACCATTTATTTAAAATTCAATAAGTAATTTTTAATTAAGTCTATAAAAAAAGCTAAGTCATATTAACAATGAGTTATGAAAGCATATACACTGTTTTGAATTTAACACACAAAAAAAAAATTAGTACAATAGTCACCAACATAAACATATGTTATTGATTAGATGTATTGAAAATTTATGCTTTGGACGGTTAAATCAAATATTACATATTAAAAGAAATATATAATTAATCTTTTAAAACAATAATTTGGTTAAAAACTATTAAAAAAATTAATAAAACAAATTATTTAAATAAAATAACTAAAATTTATAAATAAAGTGTAATTAAAATAGTTAAAATATTACGTTAAATAGGAAAATAACAATAATTTTCAAGGAACTTCAAAATGAACATAAATTTAATTTATATGTGAAATATTTGTTTTTGTTAATACTATAAAGTCTCTTTTAGTTTATATTGATTTAATAATTAATTGAGACTAGTTGGTGTAAAAAATGAAATATAATGCATTAGCAGTGATAACTATAAATAAACTATTTTGGCTATGGCCTTGTTAAAAATTGCATCCTGGTTCCTGAAAAAACATTTTTATAAATACATTTACTAAATATTATGTATGAATAGTAGATGTGCAATATATAGACTCATGTTAACAATTAATTTTCTTTCGAATTTGTTTATTTTACAAGAAAATATTCATTGTTTAAAAGACTGTAATGATATTAAGACTTCTACAAAATACGATAATAGAACATTTTTATCGCGCATCCAATTAATTGTAGATTATTGTTACTAAGGTTTTGAAATAACGTAATATTAAATAAATCACCTTATTTTTTATATACAGAATGATTGTTTAATTATAATTCATACAATATCTTAAAAAGTATAAAACATAATTTCATTTTTTCTCAGTCAGTAGTAACCAATCAATCTCTACGTTCATTCATTTTAAACAAACATTTGATTTTATTCTCTTTTTCCTCTTTAAAATTGTATTGACTTGAGTTTTTTAAATAGAAATATGTAAATATAACCAACTTAAAAATAAAAAATTAACCTAACTAAGAAAATGACTGCTCGTATATAGACTGGAGGTCTTACCATAGGATACTATTGACTTTTGAAAATAAAAAATTGTATTACGCTTTATACTTTTTGATGTTAATGTGTATTACACATATTATTGTGTGTTAATGTGTATTACAAACTATTACAGTTTGACAATCAATCTGTATATACCATAATATTTTCCATTGGCTAACGTTGTCATTTAAAATACTTAGAATTATAACTTTTTAAAAAGGTAAAATATAAAATCAAGAATTTTTACACAAAAATAGCATTCGGTAGCCATTTTCACTATGAAGACAACATAAAGTCCGAACATTTTTTTTTCATAATAAAGTACATTACATTAGCTTTAATTTACGATATATATAAAAGTATCAGACTTTCCGGTACACTTTCAAAAGTTAAGTGTAAAAGTAAATTTTTTCTGAAAAAGTTGTCATTTTAAATCCCCCCCTGTGGGCAGATAAAGGGTCAGATTTATAAAAAAAATATATCAAATAATAGGTAAAGGCATCAAACATCTATGAAAAAAAAATTATATTGATTTGTTAATTTTTTAAAAAGTTATGGCAGTTTTAAGAAAAAAAAATTGAAACAACTTCGATAATTAGCGATTTTTAAATTTGTAATTTTTTTGGAGGTTCCCCCATTTACGGGGAATGGATAAAAATTTTTCTNGAAAAAAAAATTGAAACAACTTCGATAATTAGCGATTTTTAAATTTGTAATTTTTTTGGAGGTTCCCCCATTTACGGGGAATGAATAAAATTTTTTCAATTTTTGAGGGTAACGTCTTTGACTAGATACGATTTATGATCTTTTGACGTATCGTTGAAAGAAATCCGTTTGGTGAGAGCTGAGAAAAAATGGTAACAGACACATTAAAAAAAAAAAAACACATCATAGTAAAACTAATACCTTCTCAGCTTCGCATCGTAGCTAAAATTGACCAAATTAAAAATTTGTTTGTAAAATCAACAAAAATTTGGTTCAAATAATGAAAAAAGTATTATTTATGTAACGAAACTATTATTAAACGTATGTTGATAAAAAAAATTGTTGATTTTACCAAGGAGCCTATCCAGTACATACAATTTTACAACTCTCACTAGGTCGATTTGCATATCATCAAAAATGGTAATAATCTCCTCAATTATAAAAATATTTTTTTATAATTATACTTGACCCAGCTATGCCAAGTCACCACTGTACTGGGTTTATTTTTTATTAACTTTGATGTCCGTTTTCACTATGTAAACAAAATAATGTCCGAAATTTTTTTTTTCCATATTAAATATCACATAAGTTTTAATTTAAGAAATATATAAAAAAGTCAGTGTTTCCGAAACACTTTCAAAAGTTAAGTTTAAAAAGTTGTCTTTTTGAATCTTCTCCTGTGGGTCAAATTTATGAAAAAAATATACAAAATAATAGTTAAATCCCTCATGTATGTATAAAAAAAAATATATATATATATTGATTTGGTCATTTGAAAAAGTTGTGTATGACCCCAGTGTGAATGAAAGAAATTTTCTCAATTTTTGAGGGTTATGTCTTCGACTAGATACGATTTGTGATCTTTTGACGTATCGTTGAAAGAAATCGGTTCGGTGAGAGCTGAGAAAAAGTAGTAATAGACACAAAAAAAACATATCATAGTACATTAATACCTTCTCAGCTTCGCATCGAAGCTAAAATTAACGAAAAGTATTTGTTTGATCAAAGTTTATTAAAGATATCAGAATGTTCCAATATCTTGAAAACTGATTTTAGAAATCATTAAATCTGACTCTATATCTAAACAGCGTAATCCATTTATCATAACCCACTCATTTACAAATAAATAAAATTTCAGGAATTATATTTTTGCATATTTTAGTTACATATATATCTTGAATTATCAATTATATAGTCATTTTTTGGTTTATTCTTTATATTTTTTTGGGGTGTCTACTTTATATTTTTAATGGCAACTTACATTTAATTTTTTTATAAAATAGAAAATTAATTCGTTAATAATATGAGGGATTCATAACAATTTTTGTATCAGTATTTGAGTACTTACTCTGAAATAATTGAGATTTTTTTACCTAGGTGGAAGGATACTGAGAACTTTCTAATGATAAAAATAGTAGCATCCGTATCTTAATTGCATTCTATATTCTTAATTGTTTATAACTTTCAAAGAACTGTTATCGAAAGTTTTCAATTTTTTTAAAAAAATAAAGATATATGATTAAATGTAATTAAAACGGTAGCACAGTGGGGTCGCGGCATAGTGGAGACATTGCATAGTAGGGTCCAGTATAGATTTAATCTGACAGTGATTCAAATCACTATCATAAGAAACGCTTCGATGCAAATCTGTAGATAGTGTTTAATTTTAAAAAATTGATGGATAATTGCAAAAGCAACATCAACTTCTATTAAAATAAAATACAAAACCCATAATTATCATACAAAAATAGTATATTTTTCAATATGGTAGCCATTTGCGTATAGAAGATAGATCGTCGGGACAAATTTTTTTTTTTCATTTTGTAGTACATAAAATAAGCTTTAATTTTATATATGTTTAAAGGACGCAGTATTTCCGGAACATTTTCAAAAATTAAGTTGAAAAAGTTATTTTTTGTAAAAAAGTTACTATTTTAAATCCTCCCAGTGAGCAGAATAAGTGTTAGATTTTCAAAAAAAATTATATCAAATGAAAGGGAAATATCTAAGGTTTCAATACAAAAAAATATTATTTTTATTTGTTCGTTTTTGAAAAAGTTATGGCAGTTTTAAGTACAAAAAACATCCCGATAAAATGTAATTTTTATCGCAAACATTACATTTTTTTTTGAATTTTCGACAGCCATTTGCACATAGAAGATAAGATGTCGGGACAAATTTTTTTTTTTCATTTGATAGTATATAACATAACCTTTGATTTGATATATGTTTAAAGGACGCAGTATTTCCGGAACATTTTCAAAAGTTCAGTTGAAAAAGATCTATGTTTTTTACAATATTTTAAGTTTTGAACGCCCCCTATATAAGGGGAAATTGTCCAATTTTAATAAAAAGTATGTCAAATGAAAGATGTACTTATAATGTATTTAGAAAAAAAAAATTTGTGCTGATATATACATTTTTCAAAAAGTTATAGCATTTTTAAGTTGAAAATTTAAAATCGAAAATCGAAAATTTTAACACAAAAATAGTGTTTTTTTAACTACGGCAGCCGTTTAAATGTAGAAAAAAAAGTGTCGCGACAAATTTTTTTTTTTCATTTTGTAGTACATAAAATAAGCTTTAATTTGATATATGTGTAAAAGACGCAGTATTTCCAGAACATTTTCAAAAATTAAGTTGAAAAAATTAATTTTTGTAAAAAAATTTCCATTTTAAATCCCCCCCAATGAGCAGGTTAAGTAATAGATTTTCAAAAAAATGATATCAAATGAAAGG